CGCATGCACTGACTGCATTACTTAAGACTTGTATAAAGAAAGATAAATACTATTTATCAGAGAGGCAAATAAATTAAATAAAGTTTTATGCACAATGTTTTGCTCGATTATATGAAAATGTAAGTACTTTTAAAAACATTGCCGATTAATATTATTCGGAGTCGTTATTTTAAAATCAAATGATGTAGCCTGAAAGCGGACAATGAAACGTGTTTTATTTTGATGCTGAATTAAAAATTGAAGAAAAGTAAAAATATAAGTGTACTTGATGAATTACAGGATTTCAGGCTATATGATATGTCAACCGACTCAGTGGACAGTACTATTCCGTAAAAAGTTGGCAGGACGTCTTCCTGTTCAAAGAATTAAAGAAAGACTGTAATTATCTTGAATCGAAGAGAGCATTCCTTCTTACACCCAGGCAGGATTTTGTAAGAAGTAGGGAACTACTTTGGGTGCACAAGTACCCCCAAATAACAGAACTGTGGTCTAGAGTCTCAAATAGCACCACAAACACACTTTTATTATGCACCTGATCGATCATGTTGGGCCAAGAGTATTTGTAAAGTTTTGGATTTGATTAAAATTGTGAGCCATAAACTGTAGAATTATAGTCTTGTGTCAATGTTTATGAGAATGAAAATGTTGTTCTAACTGTTGTCAGAATGCAGGAAACAGCGTTTCTAAGCTTTAGAAAATAAACAAGTGCTGCTTTACTGCTCCTATAGAAGTTTCCCGCACATAATTCGGTGCACGACCCGGTAAAGCTAAAATCCATGTTCAGAGAAACGTGATATCGTACACTGCCGAATGTCAACTGTAAAAGTTGAACCAAGCAGGATTTGATTCGCACCTTCGGTATTCCAGTCTGTGTGTTTGCTTTGGGAAGTTTTTGCCATTTTGCAAAAGCGGGCGTTAATGCGTGGGCGAAAATAATTGAGTATCTGTTTTCAAATTTCTGAGTCCAATATCTGTTTACAAATTTGCCGCGTTGCTACATTTGCGACAGGCAAACTTGATTTCATTGCTAATGGCTTGTCGTTTTCTTTTTTAAACATGGGTTTGTTACACCAACTGTCCTAAGATATGTTGCGATCGGTTACAGTTAAATTGTTTGGAATTTTTAAAAACAAGTATTACAATAAGACGACAGTCACTCAAAACATGGTCTGGAAGGCTCTTTGAAATTCTTTGTTCTATCTCTTTGTGATATCCGAAATGATCAAAGTCAAGGTTTGTGTTGTCAGTCTAGCCGAATTGCATTTTCATTCAACACCTTCGAAAAACTTCAACAAACAAATTTTTCTTCTTTTTACTCGCCGCTTGCTTAAAATTACATACCGATGGCCCAACCTGCAGTCATGCAACAATGTTATAAGCTAAAATCTCCGACAATGATGTTGTGACATCTAGGGTTTTTCCCTGATATCCCTATTCATTGTTGGTAATGCGGTCACGAGGCTTTTTCTATACCATTTTTATCAACATTGAGGGGAGAGGGAAGGAGGACAGGACTTACATGTAACATGCGTGATATGGGCAATGTCACAACGGTTTTGTCTGGGGTTGTAGCTTACACTTATTGGGGTCACTTCTTTGGAGTCTGCCTTGTAATCAGGCCTATTAAATTTACCCTTCATATCAGTACTGTAGTATAAAATTGGAAAATTAAACGATTGCTAATTAAATGGTTTTCAGCGAACATGACAGTTGCTCAAACACACAAGGCGAGTGTATACCACTGACAGTTTCTGACATTCCTGATCATCAAACGCTAGGTGCCACAACATTAATGTCGGTGATTATAGTTGAGAACATTGTTGGCAGCAGGTTGGATATTGGACTCGGAAATTTGAAAACAGATACTTAATTATTTTCGCCCACGCATTAGGGTAACGCCCGCTTTTAAAAAATGGCAAAAACTTCCCAAAGCAAACACAAAGACTGGCAGTACCGAAGGTGCGAGTCAAATCCCGCTTGGTTCAACTTTTACAGTTGACATTCGGCAGTGTACGAAATCATTTTTCCCTGAGGATAGTCAGGTCCGTAACTAGGATTTTAGCTTTACCGAGTCTTTGGAAATTTACCGAGTCTTTACAGAGTCTTTACCCTGATTAGGTGCAAGAAACTTATATATAGGAGTGTCTAGAGGAATGCCACCACAGAACTTGTTTATTTTCTAAAGCTTAGAAACGCTGTTTCTAAATCGCAGTTTTGTTATTGGTGGTACTTGTGTATCCAAAGGCAAAGCAGCTTCCTACTTCTTACAAAACCCTGGGGTGGGAAGGAATGCTCTCTTCGCTTGAAGATAATAACAATCTTTCTTTAATTCTTTGAACAGGAAGTCGTCCTGTCAACTTTTACCAATAATCTTACCGAGTGAACTGAGTTGGTTGACACATCATAGCCTATGTTCTGTAATTCATCAAACACATTTATTAACTTTTCTTCAATTTTTTATTCAGCATCAAAATGAAACACGCATTTCATTATCCGCCTTCAGGATACAGTCGGGTTTTTTTATTAATTGGCCATGTTTTTCAAACTATTTATAGGACTTCCTTTCCACTAAGTTTTTGGCATGCATGAAAGAAAATTAATTTCTTACTTTTTTGTTATCGAGCAAAACATCATGCCATCAATTTTATTTGGCTCTCACTAGCATTTATCTTTCTAGATCTGTGTATACCACGTTTCTGACTTTCCTGATCGTATCTCGATTGAATATGACAATCGAGACCTGAAGTTACTCTACAATCTGCATTGTATGAACGGGTATCATTTATACAGAGAATCCGCTTTTTGAGGCTCCCACTGTCGTTGGCAGCTTATTTGCAGCAAAATTTGCACTTGATTGTAATAAGTATAGGTTATTTTGAAGCAACGAGGGGATATGTGATTTATTCACTGAGGCGCGCAGCGCAGAGGTGAATAAACCCATATCCCCGAGGTGCCTCAAAATAACGTACTTATTTTTCACATTGCGAGGTCGCGTTTATGGGTCAGAATAGAAATAATTCTTAATGCCATATTGCCTTCGTTATGTTGTTTTATCTCATTTTTTGTTCTGCAAAGACATTGCAGGTGAATGTTAGAGGGGATTATTAAACGGAAATTGATTAGAGGGGAATATTGAATATATTCCCAGTTAAGAACAAAGGAAACCGAACAGGGTGAAAAAGCCTAGTCAGGGTTCTTTGTTCATGTCATTGTGCTATAATACAATTAAACATTTTGCTAACATCATTACATTGAAGAAACTGGGCGACGACAAGAAATGAACCTATTACCGACATTATGACTATATAGTGTGGACATCTATATGAAACGAACCTCTCTGCTTCTTAAAAAAGACAAAACATGATGCCAGCACAAAATAATTCACAGGATAGCTGAATTTTGCTAAATGGGATAATTTATTAGTCTGCAGCTCAATACTTTGCGGGTAATATTACATATTACGGATTCAACTACGAATATACCTCGACCAGAACGCCTCATTTTGATGCACAATTGACATTATGAAAATGGCTTATCAAATCTTTTAATTCTGTATTAGCTTTCGTGTTTTTGATACGGGTAATTTTTCCCACCATAATATGTAAAAGCGGACGTTACTCTTTACATTCAAATGACGTCAAGTCTCAAATTTCCGGCTTCCTGTTTCAAGAGTTTAGCTGAATATCGATGTTTAATTAAAATCAATAATAGTGAGCTTGTAGCGACGTTTTTGTCAACACGGATATGTATCCAATTTTGGCGGCCTTCTGCATCATAGCGCTCGTGTATAGGAAGCAAAAACTTTAAAATCTTATGCGTTGTTATGTGTTCAAGATCCATAAATTGATACAAACTTTTACATTTATAATACGCAATCAAATAATCCGTCATTTTTACATATATTTGCATTGTTTTGATCGAAGTCACGCAAAATCATGAAATACAACTTTGACTGTCTCTTCTTTTGTGGCCTAACAATGCACATGGACACAATGCTGAGGATGAACAGGCGATATATTTTACGAGCGTTTAAATTAAATCTATACATTTCTTCACTCTATTTATTGTTCGCAAGTAAACCAGTAAAATACGTCATCACTACGTCTGTCTACGATATAATTATAATGAAAAACTTTATTTGTTCACATTTCCCATCGATAACTGGAGATTAATTAATTTAACACCTGCATGCTCCACGATTTGCTCAGCCTAAGGGAACTCAATATGCAGAGCGTCTGGCAACTATCAGGGACGCCGGAACGATGTGAAGGCGTGAAAGGGCACTTTTAAATTGATATATACTTAGAGATGTTCGGGTGCTGAACTTCGCCTAATCATGTTTCCTATTGATTGGATGATAGGGGTATGAGGGGGTTCTCCAGCAGGCGATTGTGCTATATTCTTGAAGCTCGATGACTGCATTTCTTGCGTTTTCTGAAGCAAATTCGTAAAAGAATTGCAAAAACATTTCTGACAATTCGCTATTTCGCCAAGGCAATCCTTTAAATTGAAAGGGCACCTTTGCCCCCCTTGCCCCACCTGGTAAGGGCAGCGGGGGCGGCTGCCCCTCCTGCACCTTCCCCCCCCCCCAGTTCCGGCGTCCCTGGCAACTATAGCAGAAAAACAAACAACATAGATACAAGACAAATAGGAGGAGCCGAAGCGGGTAATTTAAAGGCCGTTTATAATAGTGAAGTGAATGAAAGTACAGCATTTAATTTTGTGTATTATTTAAAGTGTATTTGTTGAGGTATTTAGTACACTAATATAAAATTTGGAAAGATTTAATTAAACTTTTCGAATTTCGTGCGTTTAGAAAAAAAAGTATGGAAACCACTTAAAACCAGAAAACAGCCTAAAAGAACGAACGTGTAGGACTGCACGAAATCAGTTATACAAAAACCTCTGACCTAACCAATCAAAACATATACACTTGCTGAGCAGCCTCGTCCCTGGCGCTTTGATGTGCTTACTGGTTGCGTGACGCACGCGCGGGAATATCAAAGCGCCGGGGACGAGGCTGCTTGCTGAGTACAAATTTGCATGAACAGTCACGCACACTTTATGCAATGCAAATGGATATAAATTTATTTTGTCTGGTTTTGGCATCAAACGGTCTTCGTCAGTCAAGCTGCTCTGTTGTCATTCGCTCAAGTTGCAGGTTCATAGTATATTTTCAGTCCGTAATTGTTGGCACATAGCATTTTGATTGTTAGTTCCACATATACATATCAAGCAGGATTTATTTCAAGAATTTAAGGTTAGCGTGCTTATCTTCATCAATTTTTGTTGTGATGTATTTTTTGCAAGTTTTCAAATTCTCACGAAATTCATGTTTCGGGGTTTTCTCGGTCGAAATTTCTTGTCAAAGATCTGTTACAATGGCAAATGCCAAACTGACCAATTTTAAATGGCAACACTGTGAATACATTATTTTTCGGATTAAATGTCGAAACTTTTAAAGATTAAAATCTCAATTTGTTGCGTGTTTGGCTATTGGAAAATTCAACATTTTTTTAATGCGATCATGCTAAACTGAGTGTACTTGGCAAGCATTGCTTGTCATACGAAACAAGTTTCAGTGTATCAGTGAATAAAATCTTATGAAGTAAACCAGGTTTATTTTAGTTTATCTTTGATATTAGCCCGCGCCTGTCTTTGTACCTGCGTACGTATCTTGACCGTAATGTTGAAAAGAAGCCACATTTTTCACACTCAAAAAGCCGGAAATATCGCAGTTTAAGCGCTTTTTAACTGGCCATATCTTTTACTGTGTTAGACGCTTTTTAACTGGCCATATTGTTTAGTGGCCGACTTAATCCTTAATTACGGCCAGATCATATTTGAACCGGCAAACGTGGGTGATCAATTTAATTTATTAGGTTAAAAGATCGATATAAAGTTAAGAAAGATTTCATGAGCTTTTTTTCGTTATTGAGAAGCCGTCACCTTTGGTGTCTACCTTGGCATTGTCTATTGCGTACTACGTTATGTAAATTAGATTTATTCTATATCCATTATTGTAATGCGATGCAAGACAACGACCACGAGGTGGCGGGAAACAGCAGGATAGCGTACAAACTGAACTCTTCTGATGGCGTATAGCTCCAGGCGAAGGAATTTTTGTGATATTTAGAGCAAATTTTAACTGTATAATTATGCTCGTTGATCGCAGTGCTAAATGGTCTAGGATTATAGTATATGCAAGTTTAATATACACAACAACGATAAGAATCGCCGATAAATTTTACAAGCAAAAATGGCGCCAATTTTACAAGCAAGAATTTTACAATTTTTACAAGCCGGCAGAATACTGTGTATCTACAGGGTGTGTAAAAAAAAAGGTAATCGAACTTCAGCGCGTTATTGTATCTGAATTACTCTGCGTATGTACGAGATTTTTCACATTCGGAAAGATCATGCTTTTAGCTGTTGAATGATATCTTCTTCATGCCAAATGGATAAAAAATGTTAGTCAGAATCACATATTTTCACCGTTGGGAGTTGGGTCTAAAACCATTGAAAATGAACCCCCTTTAGGACTTAAGTTGATGAATTTCACTTCATTAAACTGCACACATATTCATAATAATTATTAAGTCGGAATAAATTTTAGCTAAGCTACGACACGTTCGTGATTAATTGCTTTTTCTTTTGTTATGCATTGTTTTAATTAGGCACAGAGGTGAAAATATGCAATTTTGACTAGCATTTTTAATCGGCCTCGTACATGCTTATTTTTTCTCCACTTGTCATGAAAAGCATGTCATTCAATAGCTAAAAGCCTGATCTTTCCGAATATGAAAACCAATTGTTCATACGCCAAGTAATTCACGTATAATAGCGCGCTGAAGTTCGATTACCTTTTTTTTATACACCCTGTATAACTGAACGGACAACGGCAAAATCTTATCTACTTGTTATCTATCATAAAATGAAAAACTCCGAATTAAATGGGTAAATAGCTTACTGTTATCAACTCAAACATTTGGAAATTTGAAAAAAAATTACAAATATGTGATCTACACAAATAAGGGAATGTTATTGGATAAGGTTTTGTGTGACGTAATTCCGTGCGTCTGTCATCCAATAGATCATGGCTCTCGATCAATGAAAGCGCTTGAATTCCTGAAGTTATTATATAAATTGCTTAAATGTTCGCCGCTCGCATGTGCACCGCTCGATGTGCATGACGAGTTTCTCAAATCGGCAAGCAAAGTGACATATTGAACATTATGAAGGACATGCCATATTCAGTAACTTCTCATTTCTCCTTTTTCAGCTGCTATGGGTAAAATATTGGCATTCGTGCACTTCTTGGTGACAGAGATGCGGATTATATGGCTTCTGTGGTACACTGTTTATAGTACATTTGAAACCATCACGACGATCTCTTCCATCTCGGACGTTTATAGCAGTTACCATGTGAGAGAATGCTTGTATAAAGAGAAAATCACCGTCGGAGAAATCGATGATTGCATGACATCAGCCTACCGAGAATATCTGGCTCATGGCCCACAGCTACCTTATGAAGAATGCAGTGAAGAATGTCCAGAATCCGAAATCTGGATATCGGCTCCTGAACCCAGGAATATGTTTTTCTTTATGACTATCTGGCTTTTTGGTATGTTTCATCTATTTGGGATGCCCTTCGAAAAATCGAATTAAATGTAGCAGACATGTTTGGCTTTTTAGTCATTGTGACAACTGACAAGCAACTTTTAAGTTTAAAAATTTTAAAAATTTTCGATTTTGGTAGGTCACAATAATTCGTGAAATCCAGCCAGCGGCAAAGCTAGCCATGGCAACTGGAAATGCTATGGTAATAAACCTGCATCTAAGGCCGCGTTTACACCGTAGATATCTTATATAAACTAGATAGCGCATCTCTTTTAGTAAAATTGAAGCCAAGAATATTCCAGCGGTTACCCCCATTTGAATAGATGGCGGCCATGTTGAAGTTTCCCACTCGCTAATATTAAATGCTTAGAAAATAACAATAACTTTCATCATTTGAATAGTTTGAATATGTATTTGGAATAGGTTTAACTTAATGTTTAAGTTCCCTGTTTAAGAAATAGAAAACATGCGAGTAATTTTCATTTCATGGGAATATCCTGAGTCTGCAATCACGGTTTCAATTTTTGAATTGCAGAATAATTAGATGCACTATCTGTTATAGTGTATATAAGATATCTATGGTTTACACTATGACGCTACGGCAAATTTACCGTAGCGTATAGTGATTTGCATCTGGAGTGCCAAACGTAGTGGTCCGTAGTTAATACCCTACGGCAATCCACTCCGTTATAGTATAAACACAATACTAAGAAACGTAGTGAATTTTTAACAAAACTGATTTCTGTAGTTAGTACGCTACGGCAACCCACTCCGTTATAGTGTAAACACAATATAATTCCATAGTTAGTACGCTACGGCAACCCACTTCGTTATAGTGTAAACACAATATAGTCTCAATACTAGAAACGTAGTAGATTTTTAACGGAGTGTTAGCCGTAGCGTCATAGTGTAAACGCGGCCTAAATAGGTAAAAAACACAATACATTTCTAATTAAAGGTTTGAAAAATGCAAACATGACAAATTTGCAAGGCATGACTTATTGCTATGGCTATAGCTTTGCCATTGAATCAAGCAATATTGGAGCACATTTCTAGATGTTGGACGCTTGTTAATTAGTAGATCTCTTAAAAATATTGCTAATTTATTAATTTTGCATCTGAAGTCAACATGCAACCCAACAATCATCTTCGAGAAAAGCAATCGTATGTAAGAGTACAATGATTCGACACAAGGCATGCAGAAACGAAACAAACGTCGCCAGAAATGTAATTTTAAGAGTGAACAAAGTGGCAGAATTTTAGACTTTACACTTCCACTTTCCATGAATTTCATAGATTCTGAAAAAACTTTTTTATAGTTTTAGCAAAATTTCCTTAATGTTTCACCTAAAATGGTTTGTTGTTTTGATGCCTTTGGTACATTTTCTGAACTTTTTGTACATTAGTTAAAAGAATAACACCTAATTTGATATGTTAATATTTCTTGTCATTGATATTCAATGTATTATTATATAATTAATATCTGCATGCCATTCGATGGTTTGTCATCATTTGTAACTTGATTTTTGCATTAATTTCAGGATTCCTTCTTGCTCTTTTGGTGTATTGTATCTACCGCCGCCCCGATTACCACACCGGAAGCTACATAAAGTTTACTCAAACGCTTTATGCAAGCAAAGTGTACAAAATTGTGGCCAATTGCACATTCGCGATATCCGTTTTGGTAATCCTTGTCGGGATCTACATCTTAATTAGAGAGGAAAAAGCATGGACCCAATTTATCGTGGCATTACTTCTAATGGTGATGGCATCGAGAAGTCTCGTTCTCGAAAAAAGTAACGGCCTCGACATCAACTCCGAACAATTCTGTAGATTAGAGATCTCTCGTGGGAATGCGCTAATGAGGGTAATGAATTTCTTTCTGACCACCAATGCTGTTCTCCTGGATGAAATGGAGGTGCAATTAATGAAGAACGGGCTCCCAGATGATGTAGGAGCAGCTGATGAGCGCGAGAAAGGATGTTTGGCACTCTTCACCTGGTATCCTCTCAGTGATCAAAGCATCGAAGCGTTTTTGGCAAGTAAGAATGAAAACAGCGCTTGTGAAATGACAGAAGTACAAAAGTTCGAAAGCCAGAACCAGCCGAAAGTTTAAGGAAATAAAATACAAAACAAAATAAGAAAATAAAAAGCCAAAATACGTACGGTGTCAATGAAAAATTTACGTTTTGCTTTAGTCTATGTTATACTAATCTTTAGTCAAGATTATTTAGTCAATAATTTTGCGTTTTCAAGATGTTTTATTTTTTTATTTTGTTTTGTACAACTGTTTGAAACACATGTTATTTAGCAACTAGAGTAGTAATAACATATAACATCTACCATTTAGGGCAACTATAGAACAAAAATATGGAGTACATACAGTAATTTTTTGAACGCAATTTCAAAACAAATGTAACATAAATTTTCGAACAAGTTCTATAACAATATTAATAATATACATAAAAATAGTACTCGACTGTGATTGGTTGATTTCACTATTTTAGTGCAGTTAATCTCAACACGAAGTGTAGTTAATAGGATGGTTTCGCGTGAAATTTGGATAAAACAAACACTCGTGAGTAAGACCTCAAATAGCACTCGTCCTTCAGACTCGTGCTATTATTATCCTCTTCAAAAAATCACTCGTGCATGTTTCGTCCAAATTGCATTCGATCCTAGTGCCTATACAAACTTACTGTACGTCATCAACTATGGTCATGTAGGACCATGTAAGAGTTGTGCAAGGGAGGCATGCGCCAGTTAACCAGTTGTATATGCCTGTATACGCCTTGTTGTAGAGACAATAATTGTTGGATGAAAGCCTGCAGAAGGATAGATCTCACCTATTGCAGTTAAGTCGATCATTATGCAAGATAATGAATGTTTATGAATGCAGTTGTGAAAATATTGTTATGAGGTGAAATGACAATATGAAAATAATTTTACCATTGCACGAATGAAGACGTTCATCGTTTGTTTTCTAATCGAATTTTTAATTGAATTTAATTAAATACAAAACAAATACATAACGCATTTACTTGTGCAATATTCAAAACTAATAAAATCCAAAAAATGTTTTAGTGGCGAGTCTCAAACTGTCTGTGCCAGTGTAGGTATTAGAGAGTTTGACAAATACAAGGGCAACGGCAACGGCAATATGGCCATCAACAATACGTCAATTATATTTTCCCCGTTGCCGTCGTCGTTGCCGTTCTAGGTTGCCATAGGCCCTTGTTCGTGAAATTAGTAGTGTGGGTCGGAAAAAAATCACGTGACAAAACTAAACCAATCAGATGGATTTAGGCCAAACAAGAATAGTAATAGGGCATGTAGACGTATTTTTGCTCATCACAACTCAGGTATATAATGCAAAGGAATGGAAAGCACAATCAAATAACATTCATGGCCAAATGTTTTGATCCTATATTTCCGTAGTTCATCTGAGCATGGGCTGTGAAAGCAGTTTAAATGGGTTTTTCATTGACTTACTGTAAACGATTAGTATCACACTATGGAATTGCGAGCTCAACTTCCTGCTGGTGGTCCAGCAGGGATTGCCAAAGGATGGTTTAAATCCAGATCTACGGGCCGAGTAGATTAGTAGATCTGGATTTAAATCATCTTTGAGAATCCCTGCTTCTTTTAACGGATTCTTATTGTACCAAGTATGTACCAGACAATGTTTTTTTTCACTATTTGTCGACATTGCTAAGATTAAAACAACAAACGCCGGCGATACCATGGTGTCACACTGAATCAGTACCATGTAAAAACATGAAACATGACAGATAATAAACTTAGTTGCTATAGACAACTTGTTATATTTTAACAATTATACCTTTTTACATTTCGTTTACAAATTTTTCTTCAGATTTCACCAATGCATATGCAACTAGAATCAGATTACTTCAAAACTAGTACGTCACGTGAAAGTCAAAAACGCGAGATTTTGAGTAAGGCTAAGGTTGTAATTAATATATACGCTAGACTAAATTGTGCGACAAGGTCCTTAAAATGAAATTATGCTCTTAAAATTATATGTTTATCGTCACACGAATATTACTTTCTGAAACTTATATCTTTGATTTCCACAAATGGTTCTGACGTACTTGTTGAAGTTCACAAGTATCGAAACTATAAGGACATGGATAAAAAAAACACATTTTACCCAAACATGTCGTAATGCTACTGGTGAAAAAAAGTATCATCTGAACACTTGCTGGGCGGTAATTGTTTCTGTTTGGTTCAATGTTTGAGTGGAGACATTCAGTTTTGTATAATATGAGTTTTTAACATTCACACTAGCACTTGGTTGGATTTGTTGCATGGTCGAAAGTGATATGTAGCTTTCTTTGGGATCAATCATAATAGCATTAGGAACAGCATTAACACTAGCACTTGGTTGAAGTTGCTGTATGGATTTAGTAGGCGTTGTGCTTTCGTTGGTATCAATCATGATCGTAGAACTTTTAACATTAACACTAGAATTTGCTTGGATTTGTTTCATGGGTGAATGTGTTCTGGGGCTTTCTTTGTGATTAACCATGATAGCATTGACAATAACACTAGAACTCGGTTGGATTCGCTGCATGGTTTTTGGTGGTGGTTTGTAGCTTTTTTTGGCATACATAATGATAGCTTTAGCAATAGCATTAACACTAGCGATTGGTTGACTTTGTTGCTTAGGTGGAGGTGGTGTGGAGGCTTTTTTGGTATCAATCAAAATAGAAGCACTTTTAATGTTCACACTAGCACTAGGTTGGATTTCCGTCATGGTTGGAGGTGGTGTGGAATTTGCTTTGTGATCAATCTTGATATCATTAACCATTGTGTTAACACTAGCCCCTGGTTGCATTTGTTGCATGGTTTTAGGTGACATGGTGCTTTCTTTTGGATCAATCAAAATAGAAAAATCTTTAATGTTTACACCAACACTAGGTTGGATTTTCGTCATGGTTGGAAGTGGTGTTGTAGTTTTTTGGGGATCAATCATGATAGCATTAACCATTAGGTTAACACTGGCACTTGGTAGCACTTGCTGCATGGTTTTAGGTGATATGGTGCTTTCTTTTGGATCAATCAAAATAGAAGTATCTTTAATGTTTACACCATCACTAGGTTGGATTTTCTTCATGGTTAGAGGTGGTGTTGTACTTTCTTTGGGATCAATCATGATAGCATTAACCATTACGTTAACACTGGAACTTGGTTGCATTTGCTGCATGGTTTTAGGTGATATGGTGCTTTCTTTTGGATCAATCAAAATAGAAGAATCTTTAATGTTTACACCAACACTAGGTTGGATTTTCGTCATGGTTGGAGGTGGTGTTGTACTTTTTTGGGGATCAATCATGATAGCATTAACCATTAGGTTAACACTGGCACTTGGTTGCACTTGCTGCATGGTTTTAGGTGATATGGTGCTTTCTTTTGGATCAATCAAAATAAAAGTATCTTTAATGTTTACACCAGCACTAGGTTGGATTTTCTTCATGGTTGGAGGTGGTGTGGAACTTTCTTTGGGATCAATCATGATAGCATTAACCATTAGGTTAACACTGGCACTTGGTTGCATTTGATGCATGGTTTTAGGTGATATGGTGCTTTCTTTTGGATCAATACAAATAGAAGAATCTTTAATGTTTACACCAGCACTAGGTTGGATTTTCTTCATGGTTGGAGGTGGTGTGGAACTTTCTTTGGGATCAATCATGATAGCATTAACCATTAGGTGAACACTAGCACTTGGTTGCATTGGCTGCATGGTTTTAGGTGATATGTTGCTTTCTTTTGGATCAATCAAAATAGAAAAATCTTTAATGTTTACACCAACACTAGGTTGGATTTTCGTCATGGTTGGAAGTGGTGTTATAGTTTTTTGGGGATCAATCATGATAGCATTAACCATTAGGTTAACACTGGCACTTGGTTGCACTTGCTGCATGGTTTTAGGTGATATGGTGCTTTCTTTTGGATCAATAAAAATAGAAGTATCTTTAATGTTTACACCAGCACTAGGTTGGATTTTCTTCATGGTTGGAGGTGGTGTTGTACTTTCTTTGGGATCAATCATGATAGCATTAACCATTACGTTAACACTGGAACTTGGTTGCATTTGCTGCATGGTTTTAGGTGATATGGTGCTTTCTTTTGGATCAATCAAAATAGAAGAATCTTTAATGTTTACACCAACACTAGGTTGGATTTTCGTCATGGTTGGAGGTGGTGTTGTACTTTTTTGGGGATCAATCATGATAGCATTAACCATTAGGTTAACACTGGCACTTGGTTGCACTTGCTGCATGGTTTTAGGTGATATGGTGCTTTCTTTTGGATCAATCAAAATAGAAGTATCTTTAATGTTTACACCAGCACTAGGTTGGATTTGCTTCATGGTTGGAGGTGGTGTGGAACTTTCTTTGGGATCAATCATGATAGCATTAACCATTAGGTGAACACTGGCACTTGGTTGCATTGGCTGCATGGTTTTAGGTGATATGGTGCTTTCTTTTGGATCAATCAAAATAGCAGAATCTTTAATGTTTACACCTGCACTAGGTTGGATTTTCTTCATGGTTGGAGGTGGTGTTGTACTTTCTTTGGGATCAATCATGATAGCATTAACCATTAGGTTAACACTGGCACTTGGTTGCATTTGCTGCATGGTTTTAGGTGATATGGTGCTTTCTTTTGGATCAATACAAATAGAAGAATCTTTAATGTTTACACCAGCACTAGGTTGGATTTTCTTCATGGTTGGAGGTGGTGTGGAACTTTCTTTGGGATCAATCATGATAGCATTAACCATTAGGTTAACACTGGCACTTGGTTGCATTTGATGCATGGTTTTAGGTGATATGGTGCTTTCTTTTGGATCAATCAAAATAGAAGTATCTTTAATGTTTACACCAGCACTAGGTTGGATTTGCTTCATGGTTGGAGGTGGTGTGGAACTTTCTTTGGGATCAATCATGATAGCATTAACCATTAGGTGAACACTGGCACTTGGTTGCATTGGCTGCATGGTTTTAGGTGATATGGTGCTTTCTTTTGGATCAATCAAAATAGCAGAATCTTTAATGTTTACACCAGCACTAGGTTGGATTTTTGTCATGGTTGGAGGTGGTGTGGAACATTCTTTGGGATCAATCATGATAGCATTAACCATTAGGTTAACACTGGCACTTGGTTGCATTGGCTGCATGGTTTTAGGTGATATGGTGCTTTCTTTTGGATCAATCAAAATAGCAGAATCTTTAATGTTTACACCTGCACTAGGTTGGATTTTCTTCATGGTTGGAGGTGGTGTTGTACTTTCTTTGGGATCAATCATGATAGCATTAACCATTAGGTTAACACTGGCACTTGGTTGCATTTGCTGCATGGTTTTAGGTGATATGGTGCTTTCTTTTGGATCAATCAAAATAGCAGAATCTTTAATGTTTACACCAGCACTAGGCTGGATTTTCTTCATGGTTGGGGGTGGTGTTGTACTTTCTTTGGGATCAGTCATGATAGCATTAACCATTAGGTTAACACTGGCACTTGGTTGCATTTGCTGCATGGTTTTAGGTAATGTGGTCCTTTCTTTGAGATCAATCATAATAGAAGAACCTTTAATGTTTACATCAGCACTAGGTTGGATTTTTGTCATGGTTGGAGGTGGTGTGGAACTTTCTTTGGGATCAATCATGATAGCATTAACCATTAGGTTAACATTGGAACTTGGTTGCACATGCTGCATGGTTTTAGGTGATATGGTGCTTTCTTTTGGATCAATCAAAATAGAAGAATCTTTAATGTTTACACCAGCACTAGGTTGGATTTTTGTCATGGTTGGAGGCGGTGTGGAACTTTCTTTGGGATCAATCATGATAGCATTAACCATTAGGTTAACACTGCCACTTGGTTGCACATGCTGCATGGTTTTAGGTGATATGGTGCTTTCTTTTGGATCAATCAAAATAGAAGAATCTTTAATGTTTACACTAGCATTAGGTTGGACATTCGTCATTGTTAGAGGTGGTGTGGAACTAATTTCTTTGGTATCAATCATGATAGCATTAGCCATTGCATTAACACTAGGCATTGGTTGCATTTGCTGAACGGTTTTAGGTCGTGTGGTGCTTACTTTGGGATCAGCCATAATAGAAGAACTTTTAATGTTTACACTAGAACTAAGTTGGATTTGATTCATTGTTGGAGGTGGTGCGGAACTTTCTTTAGGATCAATGATGATAGCATTAGCCATTGCGTTGACACTAGCACTTGGTTGCATTTGTTCCATGGTTTTTGGTGATGTGATGCTTTCTTTGGGATCAATCATAGTAGAAGAACTTTTAATGTTCACACTAGCACTAAGTTGGATTTGATTCAAAGTCGGAGGTGGTGTGGAGTTTTCTTTGGGATCAATCATGATAGCATTAGCAATAGCATTAGCTATAGCGTTAGCAATAGCAATAGCATTAACACTAGCACTTTGTTGCATTTGTTGTATGGTCTTAGGTCGTGTGGTGCTTTCTTTGGGATCAATCATTATAGAAGAGATTTTAATGTTCACACTAGCACTAGGTTGAATTCGCTGCGTGCTTTGAGGTGGTGGGGAGCTCTCTTTAGGATGAATCACGATAGCATTAACACTAGCACGTGGATGGATTTGCTGCGCAGTTTTTTCAGGTGTTGTGCTTTCGTTGGGGTCAATCATGATAGCAGAACTTTTATCATTAACACTAGCACTTTTTTGGATTTTCTTCGTGGATAGAGGTGTTCTTAAGCTTTCTTTTGGATCAATCATGATAGCATTAGCAATAGCATTAACACTGGCACTTGGTTGGAGTTGCTGCATGGTGTGAGGTGGTGTGCTGCTTTCTTGGGGATCAATTATAATAAAAGAAGCTTTAATGTTCATATTGGTACTAGGTTGACTTTGCTGCGTGGCTAACGTTAGTGGTGTAGAACTTTCTTTCTTCATGATAGCATTAACAATGGCATTAATACTAGCACTTTTCTGCATTTGCTGCACGGTTTTAGGTATTATGGTGATTTTTTTGGGGTAGATCATAGAACTTTTAATGTTCACGCTACTACCTAGTTGGATTTGCTTCATGGTTGGAGGTAGTGCGGAGCTTTCCTTGGGGTTAATCATGATAGCAATAGCATTAACACTGGTACTTGGTTGATTTTGCTGCATAGTTAAAGGTGGTGTGGAGGTTTCTTTGATAGTATAACTTTTAATGTTTCCACTGGCACTCGGTTGGATTTGCTTCATGGTTGGGTCTGATGTGGAGCTTCCTTTTGGATCAATCATGATAGCATTAACATTAGCATTTGGTTGACTTTGCTGCATGGGTGGAGGTGGTATTGTGCTTTTGGGGGGATTAATCGTCATAGTAGATGTTTCAATGTTTAGACTAGTACTTGACTGGATTTGTTTCATGACTGGAGGTGGTCTGGAGCTTTCTTTAGGATCAATCATCATGGCATTAACAATAACATTAACACTAGCACTTGACTGGATACGCTGCATGGTTTTTGGTGTTGTGGAACTTCCTTTGGGATCAATCATGATAGCAGAGCTTTTACGATTTACACTAGGACTTTGTTTACTTTGCCGCACGGTTGACGATGGCTTTATAATTGGGTTGGGGTCGCTGGTCTTCACAAATGTGAAAGTTCCAAATCTCCTTACCGGTTTATCGCCCTTGAACGAGCCTTCTGTGTTATTGGTAAGAAGGTGAATATCTTCTGGTGGATTTGTTATGGTATCCGAACTTAGAAACCGAGTTCCGCTGTCAGTGCCTGCGTCATAGGGAGGTAGGTCGCTCACTCTCGCATCTTGCCATTTTCCCGTTATTGTGCTGCATAAATTAAAGTCGTGCACACCAATGAACCAATCAGGGGAGGGCGCGATCATGGTAATAAAGGACACAAGAGGGTACTCTGAATTGACTTCGATGTCAGCGATAGAACTAGTTCCTGTTCCCCCAAAGATCCCACGCCCCTTGTATTTCTTGAAAGCGTTTTTCGAATTTATCTCCATTTCCATTTCGCTGTTAAGGGCATTTATACTTCCTGGAAATTAAGATTGGATGTATTCACTTAGCCAGGATTGACAATAGGCTTCCTATCTCTATGGGTACTTTCCATTTACACAGTAAGACCGGTTATCCTAGGAATCCGTCTCTGAACTTTCTTTTAACGTTAACAACTATTTTGCTATTTGTTTAAATGCCAAGCGGGTGTTGGGACACTGCTTCAGCATTATTTTACAGACAATTAAAAGCACTAAACATACTTTTTAAGTTTGTTAGCCGATTGAAAAACGTATCGAAAAATAAAAATTTTGAATTTAGTCATAACCTCAGCCAGGTCAAAATTTTGATCTAGGGAAGTCTAGACAAATATTTCATCACAGCTTGAAAGAGCATCACAAAATTAGTAATATTCCAAAGTTTCGTTGCGAAATATTGTAAAATGAGGAAAATAGAGCCTTGCGAAGTTTGCAATTTTCAGTCATTTTGCATTACAAACGGGAAATTGCAGCCCAAACACCCGAATCGGATGTCAATTTCCCGTTTGTAATACAAAATGACTGAAAAACGGCAAAATTCGCAAGGCTATATTATCCGCATTTTACAAGATTTTGCAACAAAACTTTGGAATACAGTCGAACCCCTATTAAGCGGACACCTTCGGGACCTCGCCTAAGTGTCCGCCTAAAAGGGGTGTCCGCTTAAAAGGGGTATGTAGAAAAACACAGCAGGAGGCAAAGGTGTGTAATTAGGTGTGTAATTTGAGTATCATCATGGCTGGCGGCTCACAGTCCTCCGCCCTCATTCGTCACTTCCTCAATAATCTTGGCTCTGATGTCTTCGCGCCAAGTTGGTGTGTCACTGTCAATGTGCCATGTAAATTGATCTCAAATTGTTATTTACTGTCGAATATTGAATACATTTTATCAGACAATCTGTCATCTGTCCGCTTAAGAGAGGTTGATTTGCCCATTGGGACCTCCAGAAAGGTGTCCGCGTCCGTTAAAGAGGGGTGTCCGCTTAATAGGGGTTATGATAATAGTTTTTTATTAAAGAAACCAAATGGGACCTGAGATATGTGTCCGTTTAAAAGAGGTG